CTGCCACTTAGGAGCTGAGGTTGTTTGGTAGAGGAGAGGCCTTTATACATAAGGAGAAATAGATAATGCCCAGCAGGATTGATGCAGTAACATAAAGGGTTGAGGTATGCACATGGAAACAGTAACACAAGCAGGCTTCTGCTTCCCCATACACCTCTTCCCCAAACAGCAAGCTCCTACCAGCTTGGGCCTACAAAGACCCAACCAGTGGAGCATGGACAAAGAAGTCAGGCAACCTTTAGTGAAAGGGAAAGGCTGGACCTTTCCTAGGGTTGCTCTCAGACGTCAGAAGCCCCACAGATCTACCCCAGAGTTGAGCAGAGAAGCAGCCTCAAGGACAACAGTGACACTGTGAAACCTGTGTCCAGGTGGCAGTTGCAGAGAACACTGGCAAAATGTTTTCTTTTCAGTATAGTTTCTGACTAGTTTCCATCTCATCCAAAGCTGGTGGCATGAAAGGTGGCCAGGGCTAGAGATGAGACACACACAGGATCTACAGAGAACAGTCAATTTTGACCACCTGACACACCAGGGAAACAGAGACGGGACGAGGTGGAAAAGGACAAAGGTCCGTGTCAGGGCCCTTTTATATCTACAGGCTCCTTTCCACATCCCTGGAGTTTGAATAAGGAGATCAATGGACAGTATCCCAAAGCTCAGGGATCAGGACGATGAAGGAGCAAAGGAAAATGGTGAGAGAACAATCATTCCTGCAAACGAAGCCTCAGTTTGTTCTTGGGAGGGCAGGAGAGTCCAGTGACCGGCTTTTGTTTTTGCAGCAGGGAAACAAATATCCCTTTGCTTCCATCATTAGAATGGAAGTGACCCCTTATCTTGTGGTTACAGTGAGAATGACATTACTCAATACAACGTATTTTATTGAGCACCAACGAGTTCTGCTGATGTACGGATCTAGCAAGAGATTCAACTGGTTGCCGCCATCATTGATGGTGCCAAGCACATATCATTAGCTTGCCAAGATGGTAGACACGGTGATGGGAACCAGCTAATAGGGCTGGTTCTGCCCTTCTAATTTGATGTCCATACTAGATTGTATGTTTCTGTAGGGTGTGGCCTATTTAGTTCATTTACAGTCTGAGGCGCAGAAAGCTCACCACAGGCTGGTTCCAGTGAGTGACAACAGTCTTTCTAACATCAGAAGCACCTGAGACATGAACAACAAATGGGGAGAATGAGAGCTGAGGCCTTGCTCATAGTGTTTTCTGTCCTTAAACAAAGAAGAAAGCCTACCTCTAGGAATTCTCTAGGCACATGTATTCCGTCCTGCCCAGACAAATCCCAGAAACCTAAGGAGCAGCATTAGGCCGAACTTAATTTTATATTCTATTCTAGGGTGAAAATTCACAGAGAAAACAGTCGTCAGGAAACTTTGAGGGTTAGTATTTTAGAAAGTATAACAAATGCTGGTATTTTCAACTTAAAACTTACCCTGTTTCTTTTAGCCTTACTTAGTTGAAACTAAAACAAAAATTGTTGGTTGGAAAATGAGAAATCCCATGATAATTTTGAAATTTCCTTAGCTTTGACCAAACTAGAGAATGCAAGAACATGCCCTTGAAATTCTATCCTGCTTCAGATGGAGAAGGAAAATTACTCATTTCCAATCTGCCCCATACCATACAGCTCATTGTGGGATGAAGTTATTACAGTATTTTTTATACTTATTTGTGTATATGTGTGTGCATGTAGACACACATACCATGCATGCACGTGGAGGTCAGAGAACAACTTGCAGGAGTCTTTCCACTGTGTGAATCCCAGGTACCTTGTTGCCAGAGCATCTATCTTCTGAGATACCTTATCAGCTTAGAAGTTAATAGCTGTCTCTGTCTGTCTGTCTATATCTATCTATATCTATATCTATCTATCTATCTATCTATCTATCTATCTATCTATCTATCCATCCATCCATCCATCTCCAAATATACCCACAGATATACACCACAGAGCTGAAAAGGCTGACTGTAGGTTAACACATGAGTCTACTTTGTTTTAGATATGTGACCCTGGACAAGGTATTTAACATTTGTGAATCTCAGTTTTCTAATGTATGAAAAACAAAGCCTCCCTACTCAGAGGTTATAGAATTACTTATTCATGAAATTATGTATGAAGACTCTTAAGGTTTTTGGCTTGTTCTAATGACAATAAATGGCTAATATATTACTATTTAATATTGTTATCCTATCGTCTACAATTATGTAGTATAGAGAAAGTTTCCTTATTCTTGCACTGGCATTGTTAAGACCATTCTTTATGAGGCCACTTTGGGTATCTTAGGGCACCTAATAGCACCCCTGGCATCCATCTAGTACATGCCAGTAATATCTTGCACCTGTGACCATAATGATAACCAAAATACCTGCAGACTTTACCAAGTGTTTTGTGGGTGGCAAATTTGCCCATGGTTGAGAAACACTGGTTGTATAACAAAGAGCAATGGTCCTAGATGAGGGAGACTTGGTGGGCTGGGACCTTCGCTGTTCAGAGCCTTACTTCCTTGGAGGGTAAGATGCAACTGAATGCTGTAGGATAGGTCAGCTTCAGAGTGCTTGTGTAGCATGTCTGAGGTCCTGGGTTCGATGCGGATCATTGGGGAAGGAAAGGAGACAGAAGGACTAGTGTTGGAGAATTCTCCTTTATCTTTTATGGATTTTTTTTTGTGATGATGGAAAAAAAAACATTTTGGGGGCACTATAGCAGTTCCAAAGTAGGGTTGCGTATGACACTCAAGGGCTTAGGAAAGGTCTTGATATTTGCTGGCTTTTTCTGACTTCCACCCTAGGGAGCCACTTCCTCTCAGCAGTTGTTTATTGGTCAACTGTCAACAATTGCTTGTTCCTTTAATGGGTGTATATGTGGCTTGAAAAACTTTAAACAACAATAAAAAAAAATCCTTAGTGGCAAAAACTGCCTCGCATCTACATTTAATGCTCATCTAAATTTACTGTGCATGTGATGAGAATTAACCAGTCCCCAAAACTGTGGCTAAGTTGTCTGCAAGCTGATATCAAGAAAGAAATATGCTGTGCCCTTCCAGTGTCAATGACTAACTCCAATACTATGAAATAATGAGACACCACATTCAGCGAAGTCTAGAACCAGCTAAGTGGAGCCCAGAGATCGAGATCGAACCTACTGTGGTTCTTGCATTTTTTAAATTGTATTTGTCATAAGACACTTAGATTAGTGACAGAGGAGTGTCTTTCAGTAGACCACAACTTTTGAATTTAGTCAGAGCTGCAAGCTGGAGATGAGGGTTTCAGGTCTGGCCCTAACAGTGTCTGGCTGTGTGATATAGGTTAAGTCCTTTGATCCTTCTGAACTCATTGGCACATACCAAAACCACTCTTTCATATCATGGTTATGAGCTTTAAATGGGGATAAAGTCTTGGACCGGCAAGTATCCTGAGGGTATGCAGTAGGTATTCTACAGATAAAAGCAATCTGAGGTGTCATAGTAACATAATAATATTTGAGTCCTTGAATAGGATCATAAATAAATTTTCCAGTTTGGGGGCAAGTGACTTTCCTACTTTTGAACAGCATTAGCTGGAAACTCAAGAACAGACATCAGTTAGAGAAAGTCAGGTTGGTTGTGCATGCTTAGAAACTATCAGCTCTTAGAAGATGGGGTAGGTGGGTTTCACGATCTCAAAGCCAGCCTGGATTACATAGCAGGATCCCATCTTAAAAACAAAGAATTCACCTAAAGGATAAGGCATTGTCCATCCAGATGGAACAAATAATGTATTTCTTATTAGTAGTATTTGGTCTAGGTCCCATCAAAATTCTGTTTTCTGTGAATTTCTTCCTTTATGCAAAAAGCTACCAAAGCCAAAAGCTCCCGGAGTCACCCTGGAGTTTTCTCTTGTATTCTACATCTGACCCACCAGTGACCCTATTATCGCTAATTTTCATATACACCCTGAACCTACCCACAGGCCATCGCCTCCTCCATCTCTCTTCCTGATAAAGTTGCCCTGTTTCAACATGTTGAGATGCCAGCCTTCTGCTCGGAACACTAATGCATGCCCATGTACACAGCATCAGGCTTCATCCCATGAAGCCACCAGCTCACCAGCCTCCTGGGTCTGTTACCTTTGGGATCTCATCTATTCCTCCTCCTTGCTTTGGGACCCCCTCCTTGATCTTTTGGGAAGTGCTAGGCCACTCTCAGGGCCCTGCCTCTCTTCCTTCCCTGATAGGCACTTAGTAGGTTTTTAACTAATGCCGTGAATGACTTGGACGGTCATCCATTCTGACACCCGGCTCCTTATCACTGTCAATGTTATCTGTTTTCTGTGAGTACTTGTTTTGTGTGGTCCTGCTCTGTAGCTGTGACTTTCTCAGCAGTGACATCCTAGCTCACCCACTCACTGGGAAGCCCAGTCCACCTGGGGGTGACCATGAAGCTGAATCAGCTCCAAAGTAGCTCCAAACTCACCAACATTTTCACCCTCTGTCACACTCTATAATTCAGTAGAAGTGAAGGAACTGAAGGCAACTCCGTTTTTCCTCCAGACATCCCTGCCCTTCTGTACCATTAGTGGTAAGACAACCATCACAGTGTAGCAGACTGCCCTGGGCGACTGAGCAATGACTGCAGTTTCAACCTGTTTCACGGGTGATTTGTGTGAGATGGAATAATTTTCTTGCTGCTTCCAATACACCTATGTGCCAAGAAGGTTCCTGTGTCCTGGGACATCCTGGGAGAATACCCTTTTCTACAGGAATGACTGTGATTGGCTATCTAACCTGTGCCTCTGGAAAGCTGTCACCACAAGGCAAAGACTACAGGGACTCCTTGGGAACAGAGCAGCACCGGTGCCTGTAGAGACAGCCAGGCTTCTGTATGATGAGATGATTTGTGATCAAGGGAGCACGATTGATCACATTCACTCTCCTAGGCCTTCTACACCAGGACCAGGGTATTTGAAAGGCGGCTGAATACATTAGAGCCAATGACTTTTATTTACCGCATGCTGGGATGTCACACAGGTCAGACTTAAAGTTTTCATCCAAGGTAAAGCACCAGGGCGCTTCCTTCTGGTTGCCAGGGTTGCGACAGTAGGAGTGGCCTCCATTGAGCTCTGGAAATCGCAGGGCCGTGAAGCTGTGTGTGTGAGGATACTGAGAGTTCCATGGCTGGCACTGGCGTCCTGACTTGGTCACACTGACGGTTCCCCGGTAGTCTACACCTGTGCTATTGTAGCACTTGTGATCTGAAAAACATGAAAGAAAAGCCCAGAGTGCAGTAAGAAACCGAGGGGACTTGTCCTTCTTGGCAGCAGTTTGGGCGTGGGGAAGGGCAGGCTAAGGACCATGCTGCCCCAGGTTTCCCTGCCAGTTGGAGACGGGTGGGCCATTCTCCCTGCTTGCTGGGCTTGGACTGGGGCCTGCCTTGTACTCACATTCCTGGGAGGATTTAAAGCTTATGCTTCAGGAATAAAATGAGCCTCCGCAGAGTTTTTAGTGGGGATACCAAAGAAATGGTAGTCTGGGAGTCGGTGGGGGTGGGGACCTGGGCACAGGAGGGATTTCTTATGGTTCACAAGTAAGTGGCTCAAGGAAGATTCAAGGTAACCATTTTCTTTCATCCGACTGGCAGTTTTAGTAACTGCCAGAATGGCTCTGCTAGAGGACTAGGTCTTAGATTCTGTGAGATTAAAGAACCCAGGGGGAATTCACAGAATTGCTCAGCTAGAGGACTAGGGGTGGTACAGTTGGTGTTTTAAGTACAGTTGCGCTGATGGAATGCACTGCCCATGGGAAAGCACGCTCATATATATTCCTTCAGGCCATCCACATACAGTATCCAATGCCGCAAAATGACATTAACTACCGAAGAAAATTAATTTAGATGAAAGGGGAATGGGCAAAGGGACAGCGTACCATCTGAGCGGTGAGAGAGCTGGAGAAGGGAATGCACCTTCACATGTATTCACCAAGTGTGGTACAGGACACACAACATGAACATGAACGTGAACACACTTGATACGCTCCCAACTGTAAGGCTGTCCTGCTACCTTTTACAACACGCCAACCATTCCCACACCCATCAGGCAGCCCATCTCTCGACCGCAGCCTCAGAACCTCGAATCCACTTCAGGTCTCAGTGGATCTGACCATTTTGGACATTTCCTGTAACGGGGATCATGTAGCAGTTTCTTATGCTTTGCTCTATACTCTCAAGTTTCACCTAGTTATACTTCATTCCTTTTTATGGATGATATTTCAATGTGTGCATTTGTTTTATAATAAAGATATTTTGAGGCAGGGTCTCTAGTATCTCAGGCTGGACCTGAACTCACAAACTCACAGTGTAGAGAAGGATGGTTTTGAACTTCTGATCCTCATGGCCCCATCTCTTGAGTGTTGGGATTGCAGACATCCATCATTCAGTTTATGTGATGCTGGGAATGAGCCCAGGGCTTTGTGAATGCTTACCAAGCACTCTACCAACTGAGCTACACCTCCAGCCTCTTTTGTGAATGATTCTATCATGAACATTCTTATACAATACATTGCTTTTTAGTTAATGTGTATGTGTGTTTTCCTGCATGTGTATGTGTGCACTACATTCATGCCCAGTGCTGATGGAGCCAGAGAGGGCATTGGGTCCTGGAACTGGACTTAGAGATAGTTATAAGCTGCCACGTGGGTGCTGGGAACTGAACCCAGGTCCTCTGCAAGAGCAGTAAGTGCTCTTACCTGCTGATAATCTCTCCAGCCTGTACTGTGAAATACTTATGCGAGTTTCTGTGTGAAGACAGGTTTCTAATTCTTTCAATTATGTACTAAGGAGGAGTTGAATTGCTGGGTCATATGGTAATTCTGTGTTTAAGTTATTGAGAAACTAGATCCTGTATTTTTCAGTTGTCTTCCTGAAACTTTTCCAAGACAATTAATTCTATCTGACCTAACACAGAATTCTCAGGCATGATATTCAGTTCACCAGAAGGTTAGTGATCAGTGGGCACAGTCCCAGTATGAATAGTTACTGTGAGTCGGCATTGGAGCCACCGCTTACTTTTGTTTATAGGATCCGCCATGGGGATGCCAATCCGTATGCAGTTTGCAGCTTCCGGGCTCTCTGGCTGGGGAAGATCCTCACAGTTTGGTAACTTCAGCCTCATCAAAATCATGGGATTTGATCTGGCAAAAATGTACTCTGTCTGACACAGGACATTTTCCAGGACTTCACATTCATCACGGCACAAGTCACGGGGCTTTGGGACTGATGAGGTTTCGTCACAGTATGGGAAGGCGTAGTGGCACAGGGAAGGGATGGCGAACTGAGAACATTTATCAGATAAATGGCTGGAGGTGCCAATCATGGTGAAGGCAGCTGAAAAGCAAACAGAGCTATTAACTCCCAGGGGCCAGGGTTTATCTCTGCTGTGATCCAGTCAACAGATACCAGGGAGAAACATACTGCAGGGAATCCGCTGAGCTGAAGCCCACAAGGCCAAGGCGGGGAGATTCATTTCAGATGTCTAAGCATCTCACTTTCACTGGCTTGAGAAAATCATTTTGACTACAAAGTTAGAAAAACAGGATTAAATTACATGTGTACCATTTCCTAATAAAAAAGAATTAATTGGGTTAAAGCACAATATATTTTCCTTTTCTCCCCCCACAAAGCAATAGGACTTTGTGCTTCACCCCATCTTTTCTGTTAATTTTGTGAGGTTCTAAGACCTCTGAGAGCCCCAGCCCAGAGCTTGTTTCAGGCAGGGCTTGAGCTGAGCAGGGGACTTGTTGCCAGATGGCAGGGCCTGCTGGGTGGCTTTGGATCACTTGCTTCATTTCATTGTGGCTGGAATACTTTCTATCCCATCTTCGGAAAATGAGGCAATGTACCGGAAGGCCACAATTCAATTGTCCCAGAATGCATCACAGGACCTCAGGGGTCTGTTAGCCTAACCTCACATACAGGTCATCTGTGCCAAAAGGGCACCAGCCCTGAAGACTGCTCACCAGGCTGTTCGCAGTCTTTCCCCAAGTTTGTTCCTGGGGACATTAAGCTGATAGCATATAAATGGCTTCTGAGGAGCAAGGGTTACAGAGGCCAAACGAGTCTGGCAAACATTGGGTCAAACAAAAAGAAACGACCTTTTTATTTTTCAAAGGCAAAATGAAACTATAATACTTTCCAGCAGGCCAGTACTCACTGAGCGTATCCAAAAGAGGACAATTATACACTGATTACCAAATATTTATAGCAGAAGGGCATTTATTAAATGTGTATTTTTTTTTTTATTTTAAAGTATGTCCAAATGCTCTCGCTGTGAGTGGAAACACCGAGTTTTGCGTCTCCTCCCTGTTGGGACTATGTCTGTTCTTGTCCTCAAAACCCCGAGGACTTCAACAAGAGGCAACTTCACTTTTCCTGTCCTTGTTCCCTGTTCAACAGTTCCCCTCAGCTGCTTCTTAGCTCTGTCAAGTTGTTCAGAGTTTCTGGCTCTCTGTCCGTTGTCATGGATTTATCCATATCTTCCTTAAATCCTCATGTTTAAGATAGCAATTACACACGCCCTTCAGGGGAGCTTGTAGGATACAGCTATACGAAAATCAATTTGCCATTCATCTGAAGCTCAGATATAACTGGGTACCCATGTCTGCACTTGCTAAATTTGGCAGCTTTTGTGAGAATTTCATGGAGGTCATTTTAATACACCGCAAAGGACAAGGTCACTGCACTCCCGAAAGGGACGAGAGACAGCAAGACAGCTGTGACCATCATAACTAGGTGCAAAACGGTGCCTGGTGGCCCGAAGCCTCCCTCCCTCCCCCACATATTAGGAAGTGTTTCACTGTGGTGTTCATGGAGAGCAGCAGTTTCTTGAAGGCTCTGGAACAGCAGCTCTTTGGTGAATGTTCTAGTCCGAGCTCATTGCTTCTTAGTCTACATCGAACTGATTCCAAACACAGACTCCATGAGGGCACAGCCCTACCTGGCGCGTTCACACTCGCGTATCCCCAGTGTCCCGTCTGGTCCCAGCACACTGAAAGCACTCAGTAATATTTATTGAGTGTTTGCACGAATGTGAGACTTCTCGAAGCTTCCTTTTCCTCCAAGTCTAACCTCTAATAAATTATTTTAATGTAAATTCCAGAGCACAGAGATCACATCTCATGGCTCTTTATGGTCCCACCCCCAACCCCTATGCTTAGCCTAATCTTCTGTCAGGAAAGAAGCCCAGAAAAACTTCTGGCGAGAAAAATAGTTATGTAAGTATCACTTCTTTGATGTTACCTACCTGTGATCTGATTTTCTATTTCCCCCTGCATATGCAAAGACTCCATATACACAGTGCGGTTGCCAATAAATCGTGCACACGCAATGCCTCTGTATGGCTGACAGAATCCGTCTTCTTCATACTCGTCTCTAAAAACAAAGCAGTGATTCTTAGCACAGAACTACCTAGGCACACCATCCATTCTGGTTGCACAGTGCCCCAAATGGTCACGAGGGGGCGCAGTTGGGCGCCATATAATGAAGACTGCACTTAACAGATTTTTTTTTTTTTTTTTAATTCAGCTTTCAAAACATCCTTTAAAACATCTGTTGGTCACATTGGTCAAGTTTCCTACACCCCCAGAAAATCATCCTGAAGCGCAAAATCATCCTTAAATATGGGAAAGAACTTTTATTTTTGCAGCTGGTGGTGGGCTGGAAGATGATGTAGTCCTGAGAGGGAAGAGGAAGCAAGCTAAAAATCTGGGCACATGCTCCACAGTTTTTTGTTTTCTAAGTGCAGATTATTTCTGCTCCATTTGCTACAAAGGCGTGGATGCATTAGCCACAAGATTCATGCCAACTGACATGTCAATTAGGAGATCGCCAGGGTAGGAGCTGGTGCAGCTGGGAGGAAGAGGGGCAGCTGAGTCTCATGGCTCCTCCCTGAAAAAGACCCATGCTTGCTGTCTACCTGGAAGAGAGGCCAGAGCAATTTGCAGATCAAAGGATTTGAGATTATCCACTAAATCACCAATGAAAATGTGTCTTACCTCTACAATCCTTAAAAAAAAAAAGCAACTACAAGCATTTTAGGGGACACCAGACAATGACAAGAATGCTACAGTGTTAAAAGTGACGAGACAGGAGACCAGGATCACAGAAGTCCTCAGTGGGGGTACATACAGAGGGTCGAACCAGAGGGTTGAACAACAGATCTAGACCACACTGAAGACTGCCTGTGAGTTCATCTTGACACCAACTCTTCTCTGGCTGTGGTCAATACCGTCTATAACCCTACAGCCATTTGCCTTCTGTGGCTTCTTCTAAGGTAGAAGACAGGGAACCAAAACACTTCCTGTGTTCTTTAGACACGCTGACTCAGACCTGTGCAGCATACCATCCTTGCCTTTAAAATAGAAGTAATAATCACTGCCCTACAGGTCTAAGCCACGTGAGTCCATCAAGTAATATAAAAGCTCATTTGTGTGTTAATTTAGAGTGCTGGAGACAGAACTAGCCTCATACATGCTAGGTGAGTAATTACCATGGACCTATGTCTCCAGACAGGTTTATTTTGTTTTTGAGACCACTCTTACTCTGTTGCCATGCCTGACTTTGAACTTGTAATAGTTCTGCCTCAGTCTCTCAAGTGACTGGGAGCTACAGGTGTGTACTACCATGCCTGGCTGCTATAGAAGTCCCTTGAGATGGTACATTATTGTCACTGATGCGTTTAGAGTGATTCCAGAGGATACCATTCAAAAAGGAAACATTTATGAAGTGTGCGAGCACGCGTGCACATGCACACAAACACACACACACACACACACATTGTGGTTGCGAGCAGAGCTATACTAGTGCTGGACTTCCCCACCCACTGGTTTCATACTACTAGGAGACTGCCAAATGAGTGAAAAGCCATGGGATGCAGCTTCCTCCATTAATTCTCTAAATGACATGGTTTGAAGATGAAGATGCATGAAGCCTCTTTGGCTTCATCCTGAAATAGTTTTGTTGCAAAGCCTTGAAAACCTAAGCTCCAAATTCACCATAAACAAGCATGTCTACCTGAGAGGAAGACCCCGAGAGTCCACAGCTGCACAGTCCTTCATGTATCCCACGTGTTTACTTTCATAAATCCTACAGCAATAGTGAAGCCTTTTTGGCTTATGACTTACCTGAGTTGTAAAATTAACCTCACTTTTTATTGGGTAACTAATACCATAAACCTATGGGGAAAAAGGCGGCTCTGGGTGACCTCAAGATGGTTTCTGGAAACCTAAGTGCAGAGACCAGGGGTCCACCCCTTCCCCCACCACCCCTGTTAAGCCTTACTTTCTACCCTTCCACATTAGTGTGGCCTGGATGTTTAGAGTATCATGGGGAGAACGTTTCCCTCCCTATGTTAAACTCTCAAAGCCTCCATTTATATCGCTTGGGAGGACAAAATCTTGGAAATACCCCCAGATATAAATCCTTAACCCACTGGGAGTTCCCGTAGTTTATGAGTGAGGCTTAGGCTAAACTTTTTACCACCTTCCTAGTTCAAGACAGTTAAAAAGACTGACTTGCTCTTCCTTTTCAAACTCAAGCGAGACACAGCTCCTTGGCTGCCCATGTCTTATCAACTGCTCACAGTTGTGGGTGTCCTGGATTGGTTTATTATGCCCAAAACTTCTGAGATTTTGACCAGTCTCGGAGGGAAGGGGTTTTTAAAAGTCCCAACCCAAAGAACCTGTAGATGGAAGTTTCTGTTCCTCCCAGTCCCACAGCAGTTTAGTCCCAAATAAACACACAGAGGTTTATATTAATTACAAACTGCTTGGCACATGGCTCAGGCTTCTTATTGGTTAGATCCCTCTTAATAGAACCAAATGAGTGTGTAATGTCTCTGGGCAACTTTTCAGCCTTGGCTGTATAGGACACTTCAGAAGCACTGGGGATGATGGCTCAGCAGGGAAAGGCACTTGCTACCCACAGTTGGGCCATCTGAGCTTTACCCTTAGAACCTCCCTGACCAGCTATGAAGGTAGAAGAAGAAAGTTGGTCTTACAAAGTCGTCATCTAACAACAGGAATGTGGTGGCACGCATAACCGGGCACACACTAACAATAAAACAGGGTTTTTAAAAAAGTACCTCCACAGAGAAACCCTGTCTCAAAAACAAAACAAAACAAACAAACAACAAAACAAAACAAAAAACACTTATTCCAGAACCTTTGAAAAGATGAGTGCTCAGCCCTACCTCCTGCCCGTGAGGTCAGACGAGGCACTGATGATTTCATACTCTTATAAAATAGATACCAAGTCATTTAGTAGACAACAGGCTGATGAAGAGTGTAGAGGTGTGGATGCTCCCATTTTGGAAAAGTGGGGAAGCATGATGAGGGTAGCGATGCGGCGTCAGTTGCATGCTTTTCTGAACTGTGTGCCTTCCCTTTACAGTGTGAGTAGCAGCACCAAGGTTCTACAGTCAGGATGCTGTCACAGATGTTATGATAAAGCAGGTGGGGGACCTTGCATAGGAGACCTTGGCAGATCCCGTGGCAGGCAAGGGTGACTGAGGCAGAGGGACAAACATGCCAGGCAGACAGAGCTTAAGTGAGAAGTTTTATTACGAAGGGGAGGGAGGGGGATGTAGTGAGATATTCACCCCACCCGCGCCTCTGGCACTGACCACGCCCATTGGGGGTGGGGACAGGTGCAGATGTGACTTGGGGGAACTAGATCTAGGGTCAGGGACTCCAGCAGGCCCTCTCTTGCTTCCTGGTCCAGGGGCATCCTTGGGACAGGAACCTGCTGGCGGTCATCTGTCTCTCAAGTGATTTCTCCCTAAATAAGCATCCATCAGCCTATTTGTTTTCCCATATTCTTATTTATCCACGACAGGGGGAAGGAAAGAGAAAAGACGTAAAGAGACACAGAGAAAAGACAGAAGAGAAGAAGGAGGCAGGAAAAGTCCTGTCTGCCCCAGGGGAACAGCAGGAAAGAGAAAGAGAGAGGGAAAAGAGAAAGCAGAAAGAGAGTGTAAGTTTGCAGAGGTCTTTCTTTTAAAGGGGTCCTTTGCACCTGGGCTGACCAGAGTACTGCCTGATTGCATTCTGCCAGGTGACAGGGCAGGCCAGCATAATGCTTGAATCCTTACAATAGAGTCATGACATGGTCCATCAGGAAGCAGAGGACATTGGGAAAATCTATCAGGGACCTACTGCTGCCACCTGGAATGCTGACTGACTGGATACTGGGTGATGGGTGTCCTGTGACTCTCAAAGGACCTTCAGATGCTGGGTCACTAACTTTGGCCACAACGGCCTGTGTGGGATCCAGCAGAGCAAGAACCCGCCATTCTCCAGTGTGAGGTTGGAAGGGCATGGAAGATGCACAAAGGATGAGGGCAGTGGGTGGACTTCCTCTCCAGGATGCCTCAAAGCAAAGGAAGGCAAGCTGCTGTGAGATACAGATGGTGCCATTCAGTGCTAGCTAGACTGCCTGTCTCCCTCCTGCTCTGCCAGCTGCTCATGTGGTGCAAACTTCACTCTTACAGGTCCTAAGCCACAGTGAGCTGGTCTGCTTTGGCGGTGTGGATCTTCTTCAAGGCCTAAGATGCTCTTTTTCATCTTTTCGCCCTTCTCATCATTTTCACCCAGCCACTTCCTCAGAACTCTCCTGGGAAAGTTAGGCATCTCCCACTTTCCCCTAGTACCTTGATCAAACCATCCCTGTGAGTCCTGATTTCATATTATGGCCATCTGTACAGTGCTCACCCTATCAAGACCCAGCAACAGGCATGCAGCAGCCTGACCTAGACTGCCCATCCTGGAAACTCACTTCAAACTGCAAATGATTTCTTCTTCATCATAATATAGGGGCAAGGACAGGGGTGCATCTAACAGGAGCTTGCCGGATGGATTCTGGCTGATGAATTTCATTCTAAAAGTTGCTTTTGGGGGAAACACGACCAGTTAAAATGCAGCTTCCCTTAGTGAGGAGAAAATAAATACAGAGGTACCTTGCTAACTCTAGAGCATAACCTAAGAGACTGAGAATATGTAAAGCCTGTCCATGCCATTCACAGCAGCCAAAGGATGGAACTATCTCAGTGTGGACAGACAAACTGCCATACATACCTAGGGTGGACTAGCATTTACCAATGTAAATGAAACCTGCTATACTGTCATAGAGTCCATATTATAAGGTATATAGGGACCATTGGGCATAGGCGGTTCTACAGGGACAGAAAATAGATTGGTAGTTGCCAGGGCCCCGGGGGACTGGGGAATCTCTTACCTAGAGATGTCAAAGTCACACAACATTGTCTGAAACTGCTCACTTCAAAATGGTTAACTTTATTATGTGCAAAATTTACTGAAATTTAGAAAAAGGAAAAGCAATCCCATGTTTATCAAGATGGAACATTTCCGGGGGAA